GAGGGGAAAACTGCAGTTTAAATGTTTTAAATACCACCCAGCTAACACAATGATGTGGAAGGCACTCTTATGCATTGCTGGATGTTTCCCAGTAGCCCTGGCCTCTACCCACTAGATGCCAGTAGTGGCCCCATTCTCCTCCTGCCAAACCGGACAGATTTTATGCCCTCTGGGGCATAAAAATAACTTGTAGTGAGAACCACTGGTTTAAATCATGACAAGTAAATTCTCAGAAGTAGTAAGTGGCCAGGCAGAATTGTTATTCTATGAATTGCCTACCTCAGACTCTGAAAGATTTGCCAAGAATATTAGCACAACACAAAGATGATCAAATTAAAATTATGTTTTCAAAAAGATATAATTATTTTGCAAAAGTCCAAGTATAAACTAAAGTTAAAACCATCTTAATGTTTTTAATAAAAATAATAGAATCAACTATACATAGTATTCATGAGCCTGAATGGTTTGAGCTGCTAATGAAGGTCTGGAGTTAGGGTAAAAAGTCACAGTCGATGCCCATGATTCCTGCAATTTTTACCCCATGATGCCTTGAAGTAAATGCGACATTGCACACATTTTAGCATCTATTTTCCCAGCAGGAAGTGAAAATAAAGAGGCTCAATCAGTAGGTTAAAATAAGATCTGATGCAGGGAAGGGAGAAAAGCTTTCAGATCATAAGAAATATCATCTCAAGGAAATTAAAAGCCTTAGATATGGCATGTAATTACTGATACCAAATTCCTGCTGTTGCACTTTTGAAGAACTTTTAGAGACCTTTTCTATTTGCTAAATAAATCTGCAAAACTACATTGTCTTCTCAGATGTCATTGTGCTTCAGTGGGAAAATTTGTGTGCATGGATATCATCAAATTTTCTCAACTGAGGATCTGTTGGAGAAAAATTAGTTGCTTAAATTAACGACCTGTCAAATGAAAACAGTTTGATGCTTACTTTTTCAAGCTTTTATTTTTCATCTATTCCTTCCAAAAAAATTAAAGAACAGATTCCTACCACATAAATGCTATGGTTTGAAATCAGTAAGCATATTACACTAATACCTTTCTTTCTTGCTTTCTCTTCTTCCCTTTCTCCCTGTCTTAATTGCCTGCCTTTTCCCCGTTCTTTGTTCTTTCTTTTCTTCCCTTTTCTCTCATATTATCTTTTCTTCAAACCCGTTTACCTTCAATGATCCATTCATTTAGTCATTTACTTAATATTTATTAAATGCTCACTATATGTCAAGCACTGTATGAAGCTCTGGGGATATAAAATGATGAGCCAAAATAGTGTAGCCCCTGCCCTCCCTTGTGAAACTTTAAATGTAGAAAGAAAGATAGACAGTAATCAAAATATTACTGAAGCAACCCTGCATTTCTAATAACAACTATGGGAGATGGACAACTATTTCTAAAGAAAAACTCTTTTCTCATCTGGAAGCAGAGAAGGCCTCCCTGACATAATATCTGAAGGATAAGTAGGAGCTATCCACATAAGAAATAGAAAAGCATTCTATGCAATTGAGACAACTTAAGAAATAAAAATCCTCTGATTTTGTGGAGACATTTGAAGGACTAAAAGAAGGGGGGTTGGGGTAGAAGACACAGGAGCAAGAAAGGATAGTGAAGTAGGTAGACAAACTGGTCTAGGCTATGTTCTAATCCTAAGAATAAGAGGCAACAGAAAGTCTTTGCTATTTTGCCAGTTTTTAAATCTAATTTCTGTAGAAGACAGGCATGCACCAACAATAAATTATATGATGTTTAGATCTGATCATAAAAACAGCTAGATATAACCAAGGTATCATACACTTACAAACCAAGACCTGAATAATCTACTTTGTGTTCTCATTTTTAAAATTGGTTTCTAAGATCATGCACAGTGAGATACAAGTCTAGTTGGCCACTGAACATTACATTTAACTATATTTAGCTCTTCAGAATATTATTAGGCTTGCTAACACATTTGTATCTGTGATCAATTGGGATTTAAACCTTGATAGTTAAAAATTGGAGGAAAATATTTTACTAAGTGTCTTGAGAATCTATGTAAGCATACTTGATCCCCTTTTCTAGTCCCTTTCTGGCCAGGTGAATCAATATGACACTAGCATTGTTGTGGGTCCTCTGGTGACATTCTAACATGAGGAATCCTGAATTGAACTGTCTTATCACTGGGGTATCTTTGTAAAAACTCTTTCCACTTGAGTAGGTCGACTGGCGAGTTTGGCAGATGTAGGGGTGGTTGTCCTCAATAAACATTTAAGCAGTCAAGATAACACAGTACAACTATTTCCAGTGCTCATGAGTAGGAATCCTGGCTGTAATTTCCAGACAGTTACACGTCTGTGTTTGCCTAAGCTGTAGTGGGGGCTTTGGGAAAGGTACATTACAAGGTGTCAAGCAGAACCCTCACAGAGCGGAATCATGTAAAACACATACCATTGGGAAAATAAAGTTTCTTTGGAAAGCAGATAATGTAAACAAGGCAAAGGGCAGGTGGACAGTGTGTATGTATGTGTGTGTGTGTGTGTGTGTGTATACAGTGAGGTTTGGGTCAGATGATAACAGGTAGACACTAATACAATGTTGGCTGGTCCATGGCTCATTGGAGCTCTTCTGAATTGTTTTAAATCTCCCAACCCACCTCATCACCACCTCCACCTCTGGTCAAAGATGTGAAGAGAAGGTTTTAGATGAGACCACACATAGAGAGACCCCCAAACATTAAGATCCACTAATAAATGCTTTTCTTATTCAGTGGATGATTCCAGCCCACAGACAGCAATGTAGTGTCAGTAACACAAAACGGGATATATAAGAATCAACTGTATACAAGCAAAGCAATAACAAGTTTATGAAAATCATGTGAAAATATCTAAATGGTTTCCCCCATTTCTCCATGAGCATACTCAAATAGCAAGCTCTGAGATCCCATGAGAGAAATTGAGCTGGTCAAGTACTGATCAGTCTATATAGGATTTGATGAATTTCACAGAATAAAATAGAAATGCTCAAGTAAAAGAAATACATTTGTTTTGCCTACATTTTTATTTTAAAGAAGCAATTTTAAATTTATTTTCTTATTAATTTTATTATTATTATTTTATTATTATTATTTTATTATTATTATTATTATTATTATTATTATTTAATCAGTAACACTGTAAAGCTAGAACTGCTATTAGCTCCTTTTAACAAATGAAAAAATAAAGGTTATAAAAAAAATCTAGTGATCATCTTTGATCTACCTAGGAGCACAAATCTAGTTATTAGAATTATTAAACAGAGTCTGAGTTCTAGCATCTGATATGCTGTCCATTTGTCTGTAATCTATGTAAAACCTGAGCACAATATAGATGCTGATATGTTTTAATATATATATATATATATATATATATATATATATATATATATATATATATAAAATTTCAGAAAGGAAGGGAGATAGAGAGCTAGAAACATCCATGATGAGAGAGAATAATGCATTGCTACTCCTGCATGCCACCCCACTGGAAATCAAGCCCTCACCCTGAGAATGTGCCCTGACTTGGAATTGAACTGTGACCTCCTAGTTCTTGTGTTGATGTTCAACCACTGAACCAACTCTGGCTGGGCTGTTTTACTTTTTTTTTAAAAAAAAATCTTTGGAGTTTAAGCATATTTTAAAGAATTCTTTTTAAAAGTATCTTTTTACTTTTGGTAAAGAATGTCTGAAAACTGACTAATCTACACTGGTATTGATTTAAGGAAAAACAATTTCAGGAAAACCAACCACAGGTGTTTGGAACTGCTTTCATTCTTCCCCAGCAACACAGCTGAATTAGATTTCTCTGTGCCATGTCTTTAGTAAGGCCTATGCGTTAACTCTTGTGAAAAAAATAAAAAGAAAAAAAGAAAGCAAGAGAAACAAAAGAATCAAAACAAAAGAAGAAATAATGGATTTTACTGTGATTTTTTTTTAAATCCTATTTACCAGATAATTGAGGCATAATCTAATACAGGAGAAATGGGTTTATTTACTGGTTGTAATTGCTTTTACTCAGCACTAGATGATTTCAAAATCTCCCCTATTGTCATTCATGCACATCTATTCAGCTATTCCTCCTGCCTTCTTCCTTTCTCCTTCCTATTCTTTCTTTTCTAGTCTTACCTGCCTGCAATTATTTGTTCTTTTCTCCTTTCCATGTCAAGCAAATTTACCAGAAAATTGAAGAGGCAAAGTTTTAGAAATCAAATAGAAAAATCTTGATTTTACAATATATTGCTTTTCTTAAAAATAGCCGTATTCTAATAAATGATTCCTTACTTTTCTCTAACATTCATTTATAGTCTCTTCTTACTTTTTTAAAAGTAAACTTGCAAACATTATTTTAGGGAAAGAATTATGAAACATCAACTAAGCACAATGGAAAAATAATTTATGTTAAGGTGGGTTTATCACACATCTGAATTGGGAACTATATACAGCTACTTACATTTTCTATTTTGTTACCAAGTAATAGATTCATTTTATGTTTTTTGAAATTCCTTTTCTTTGGCCTTATTTCAAATGAGAGATTGCATGAAGATCATACCTGGACTGATGCACAGCAATCACTTAGAACACCACTCCAGGCTTTGCTCTAAGTGTGATGCGCAGTCCTCGTGTGGACAACAATGGAATTTTGTGCCCTAACGTGAAAGAAGGCAGAGGCACCCAGTAAAGTCGTTGTTAAAAGTTGGTGCTTGGATTATACTGTGCAGAACTAGGAAAAATATTTTTTTCTAAATATATTTTTATTGATTTCAGAGAGGAAGGGAGAGGGAGAGAGAGACAGAAATGTCAATGATGAGAGAGAATCATTGATTGGCTGCCTCCTGCATGCCCCCTACTGGGGATCAAGCCTGCAACCCAGGCATGTGCCCTTGACCAGAATGGAACCTGGGACCCCCTTCAGTCTGCAGGCCAACACTCTATCCACTGAGCCAAACCAGCTAGGGCTAAAAATATATATATATTTTTTTCAGAACTGCTCTATTGTTTTCTTAAAAAAAACAAAAACAAAAAAACAAAAAAACAAAAACACATCCAGTATTTTTGTTTGTTTTAGCAGTCATCATTTACAATTTGCAGTGGTTAACTTGGCAAGGCTTCCTTCCTTGTTTGTCCCTGTAGCCACCATTTACCAATTAGCAACAGTCAAAAGAGAAAAAAAAATATTTATTTTTTATATTTTTGGTCTCTTTGTAAAAAAAAATTGGAAAGATAAAAATCCATTAAGACCCACATGCTAAATATAAATGTTGGAACTCAGCAATGTTGGCTTTTAGGTTTTATACAGTATTTGTTTTGTTTTGGTTCTGAGTGTGGGTAATAAGGCATTAGCAATATGGTTCCAATAGAGAGAGGTTAAATGTATATAATTAAAGGAGACCTGTAGCAGTCAAAGATTTTATTGATTTAATGACAAATAAAGGAAATTAATTACAATGTTTTTGTTTTTCTGCTGTAATTCTGCATTAAGCTCACATGAGAAATCATGATACCGGAGTTTGGAATGCAAAATTGTTTCACCCTCTAACGAGGAATATTTAAAAAAAATAAATACTATAATTTAGGTATCAAATTATTACCTCCCACTATGTGTTGAAAAAAATTTAATTGATAAAACTTTGTTTCCATTGTATTCATAATGTTCTGTTATACATAACATTAAAATGTTCATTAAAATAAAATAAAATAAAAAGTTGGTGCTTGGTAGTACTGTTTGTTACTTTCCATCACTCACTGGTGATTCCTAAAAATTCTGTATTTATTAACATAACAGTTAGGAATAAATAATGAGCATCAAGAACCCAAGAAAAGCTATTTAATATCCACAAAACCTACTCAAAATGCAACAAGTTTTTTAAAAGTACTTGTTTTCCAGCTGCTCAGCTCTATCTGTAGTGAGTTCCTGTGGTCAAATCCTCTGGAAAAGTTCAGAAGGAAGCAAGTAAAACCTTGGGAATAAAGCTCATAGTCACATTTTAATAAGTGATTCCTTAATTTTCTCTACTATTCCTTAATAACAAGATCCATTCTCAGAGGCAGGGCCAGAGCCATTATGTATAATTAATTTATTCATCTGTACTTTATTAGTCCTTTATAAGTGAAGATAAGTTAGCCATGTGAGAGCAAGTGTGTGGCATTGAGTCTACAGCCAGGCCCAGAAAACACCTTCAGGCACCCCATTCCTGTGGCAGAGCCTTGGGTGGGGACCTCTGGCAGCTGATTTCCATTTACACTGAAGCTTTCCCTTATGGGACACATATGAAAGGGGTTGCAGCACTGGTTCCAGGATTGCCTCAGATGATTCTGATTGTTCCCTTACCCAGGATTCCAAGATAGTGCTCGGCAAGATACAAACACTGGCTTCACGAAAAGGTGAGTGATATGATACAGCTTTGCTCTGGATGTCATACTTGAGGGAGACAACAATCATAGTCATCCCTGTTCTTGTTCTCACACATTTCATAACTGGCACATGTTTACATTTCCTGCTTCAAGAGTGCAGGGTACAACTTCATCAGTTCAAGGCTTTGGAGTTGACACAAGCTTACTCTGTATGTTACTTCACCAACTATTATAATTAGCCCTGTTATCAGAGGAGAGGCCTCCTACTCCTGACTATCTGCTTAAAGTTAGGGGAGGACCACCTGACTATCTGCTTAAAGTTAGGTTGCCTCAGTACTGCAACCCCAGAACAATTGTGCATCATGACTTTCTACCATCACTGAAACCCGGAAACCCCACACTGCATGTTACAAAGGGATGTGTCTGAAATAAAAACAATAGGAGAGTTAGCTCAATCAGAGTTACTACTAATACAAGATGGTTGGAGAAGTTTCTTAAATGCAGGTGGTACCTGTAAAGCTATCTTTCTTACATGCCCATTTGGTATTAAGTGATGGTAAAGATTTCATTTTTAACAACGAGGAGATTAGAAAGAGCAGAGATCAAAAATAGAGAAATAAATTACTTTTTCTTCTTTTGAGCTGCTCATTTTGTTTGATTTATGCCAGGAGCAAGCATCCCAGACCCCAGTGTGTGCGTGTGTGTGTGTGTGTGTGTGTGTGTGTGTGTGGGAGAGAGAGAGAGAGAGAGAGAGAGAGAGAGAGAGAGAGAGAGAGAGAGAGAGAGAGAGAGAGAAAGAGCAGAGATCAAAGATAGAGAAATAAATTACTTTTTCTTCTTTTGAGCTGCTCATTTTGTTTGATTTATGCCAGGAGCAAGCATCCCAGACCCCAGTGTGTGCGTGTGTGTGTGTGTGTGTGTGTGTGTGTGTGTGTGTGTGAGAGAGAGAGAGAGAGAGAGAGAGAGAGAGAGAGAGAGAGAGAGAGAATGTATGTGTGTGTTCAGGGGAGAGGGTTCCAAAAGTTTCCAGCATATGTTTTCCTTGACAGATGAAATTATAATAGAATGTTGTGACATTAAATATACATCATTCTAAGAAATGTTGATATGACTTTTCCTATATAATTTTTTTCTCTTGTGGTAGGTGGTGTAATTTTACACAACGTTTAAAAAGTCCAAGGAAGACTATGAATAATTTCTTTCAAACCTTCATGTTAGGGGAGCAACTTTTCAAGTTATTTTAAAGCCCAGGATTTTCTGCTCCCCACATCTAAACCCCAAACTGCTTGTGAAAATTCCACTTTTCAAACAAAGCCTAGGGCTATTACTACTCTCTGTCAAGTGTCCTGACATACACATATTCAATCGTTAAATCAAAAGAGAAAGGGGAAGAGGATGTAAAAGAAGTGGGACAACTAAAGTGAATATAAAATTCCTAAATATCTACCTATTAAATAACGTGAATGTGTGCATGTCAGTTAATTCTCTATATTTATCATGGTTGTCTTGTTTCACATGTAAATGTTAAACTATTACCCATTCTCTGGACATACAAGCCCACACAACCAAAAATATACATACACATTATATATGCATATGAATACACAACACACATTAGTATGCACAATGCACATATGTATCACACACACACACACACACACACACACACACACACACACACACACTAGCGCGCGCACTCTATGTTTAAAGACGTATCCTTCAAGTGACTGAAGTAACTCTGTACATCTGACCACTTAGCATCTCTATTAACTGCTGCCTAATGCAAGGCTTAGTTCAGTCACATGACTCCTTTTGGCAACCTCCACCTTCTCATTTGAGCTGGTAATCAGGTATTCGTTATCTACAGTGAAGCTTTCACATTTTAATACTGTACATGCAGTGAAGGATGGGTCCCATCTCGCAGGGACAAACTGAGATCTGGTCAGCATTTTCTCCCTATGGCAAATCAGGCTACAAGTGGTACTAATTGGCATCCTCACACGTTATGGCATTTCTGATCTGCTGCCAAAGGGCAAGAGACAGATGTATAAACTGCCTTTTCTTCCTTGTGTAACATTAAACAGATGCCCAAGGAGTCATCTCCATCCCAGCCCCACCAACACAGGCCAGTGTAGATGACAGATTTAATCATCTTCCCCCCCCATCCCCCTCATTTTGAAGGTGGTACTTTGAATTGGTTGAAACATTGTGTAGAAAATAAAAGCACTTAAAGTAACAGGGTGCTGGGGAAGAAGAGGGAGATATATATTGCGGCATGTGGTCTTTTGCAAAGAATTCTGAAATCCCCTATTCTCTGAGCCTTGGCCTCACAAGTCAAGCATTTTCCTCCCCTTTAGGGGTGTCGAGCTCAATCAGAGAAGGGGCCAAAATCTAAAATCCAGCCTAAATCGCGGGCCGAATGGTTTACTGAACAGTCATAAACTGTCATTGTGATGGAAACGCAGCGGAGTGCAGTGATGACAGTGCGGTGCGGGCCACATAGCAAGGCCTGGCAGGACGGATTTGGCCCGCGGGTCTTGTGTTTGACACATGTGCCTTCGGTGAAGAGAAATTGGTAGTGGCACATTTTAAACTCTAGGGGGCGATCATGACATTCACCTACTTCCTCCATTTTTGAGCAGGTCTTTATGGGAAAAGGTGAAAATTCTATCAGGAGGAACTTGCCTGCTAATTTCTCTGCTCCTGATATTTACGGTTCTTTCTTGTTGCTTTCACAGAACTTCTGCTTTATGTGTGATTTTCTACCTGCTAATGGTTTTTGTCTTTCTTTTTGCAACTGGCAGCCTGAGATGGAGACAGAGTAATGTGCTGTTTGAGGGAGTTCCCACTCTATCAACCTTGAAAAGCAAAACATAACCAGGAAATGAGATCTAGAGTGGGATGTTTATGGCAGCTCTTCCCTCATCTGAGGGAGATAGGTGATTTTTTTTTTTTTTTTTTTTTTTTTTTTTTCTCCTCCCTATATTTTCTTGCTTGCTTCTTGTCCTCACATTTAGGGTGGAAATCTCCAGTGGAATTTAGGAAAGAGTTGACTTCAACTCCATCCCTTTATTCTCAACTACCAAAGAAATGCTGAGGATCACAAGGCTTTCACCAGTTCTCCAGAATGAACACAGAATAGGGATTTGAGCCAATGCCATAAAGAGGGATTCTCTTTCTGTAGATTCCCATGTTTATAACTTAATCTAGAGCACTGTTGGGTGGTGGGAAATGATTCAAGAATGTGAATCTCTTATAGTCCTTGCAAATATATGACTATTAGCAACCATAGGCCCCCTAAAGGTGATAATGCTGACTTCCTATCTGAAGCTCCACATGGCAGCCTAGAGTAAGTTTATACTGATTTATGGAGATAATGAACACTTTTATGGGACAACTATATGATGAAGTGATGGAATTTAGTAAGGATAATTATTCCAACTGAATCAAATTGCTTCACATTCAAACTGAGTGATTGATGCTCTACTGACCCTGCATATAACCCTAAAATTCATCTACAGTACAATGAATTCTGCCCATATTTGCACATACAGCATATTGACTTTAGTGACACGACTATATATTTTTCCTTCTTTCTTCCAGACAACAGAAACCATGTGTTTCTCACCTCTTTATCAGCTACAGTATCATGAATAGAGTAATTGACCAAAAATTATTTATGCAATAAAGACATGCAATTTATGTGCACATATAAAGAGGGTGCTAACTTTTTGGCCACATCTACCTAGTAGTTTAGGATTTGAACAGTGTCTAGGGTCTGTAGTTGGAACTAGAATTTAAGACTTCTTATACTTTCGTCTTTTTCAATGTCATCTCTTTTAGATCTTTCCAACCTCAATGATTTTCTTTACTAGCATTATACCACAGGAGATGATGCAACTATCAGGCCAATTAACAATAACACAATCATTATGATAGTAGTATTAGTATTAATTATAGTGTTAGTGTTACAACAGTAATAACATATTTATCATTTACTATGTGTTACCTGTTCTTCTATGAAGATTACTTACATTAATGTGTTTAAACATCATGACAACCCTAAGGAAATAGTATTTCTGGTCATTAATGTACAAATTTTATGAGTAAGGAAGTTGGGGTTAGAAAGAGCAGATGAAGCTCTCAGGTCACATAGCTAAGTAATTTAATTACAAAATTAAAAATCAATAAAAATAAACACCTGGAATTCACACATTTAACATCTATGAGTTCCCATATTTATTATTGAACTCAAAGTCCTTGATGAAGTCATTGATGAAGTACAGATGCCCAAGTGTGGGAAGTGTGCACTGTTAAGGCTGACATAAACTCACCCAGCTAGTGTGTGAAGCTAGTCACTCACCCAGCAATCACTCCTCAGCACAAATTTTTATTTATTTTTTATATTTCTACTAGAGGCCCAATGCATGAAATTCATGCAAAAGGCTCGGCCCTAGCAGCCCCAGCTGCCTTGGTCCTCTCAGCCCCAGCTTCATCTGAAAGGTTGTCTGGATGATTGTTCTGCTGTTTGGTCTAATTAGCATATTAGCTTTTTATTATGTAGTATATCTCTGCTGTAGTAAACATTCTTGTTCTCTTATGACAAAAATGACCATTAAGAAGAGAGAATAGCCTAAACCGGTTTGGCTCAGTAGATAGAAAGTCTGTGGACTGAAAGGTCCCAGGTTCAATTCCGGCCAAGGGAATGTACATTGGTTGTGGGCACATCCCCAGTAGGGAGTGTGCAAGAGGCAGCTGATCAATGGTTCTCTCTCATCCATCTTTCTAACTCTCTATCCCTCTCTCTTCCTCTCTGTAAAAAATCAATAAAATTATTTTTTAAAGAAGAAGAGAGAATCTTCGTGAGAGATGAAAGAATAGTTAATTTTAATATAAATAAATGCACGCAAAGTACACATCTCTCATTAAAAACATGAACCAAGAAAAGTCAGAACACTAACATTTCCAAACTCTTGAATTTGTGAGAATTACCTTTTGTGCCTATCATAGAGCATCTAAGACTAACAGATAAATAAGTGCTTGCTTCTGACATGACTTTATAGAATCTAAAAATTAGATGTAATTTATTACAATTATTATCAAATATTGTAACTTTCTGAGCCAAGCAGAAGAAATAGGGATGGAGGGCTAGACCTCCCATGGCAACGTAATTAGTCTATTTCCATCATTCTTTCCTATTAACCTCTATGGGACTGCCATTTCCACCATCATAGCCATTGGACAAAAAGTTTTTCTGGAAGGTTCCTACTACAATACAAAGAAATTATAGAAATATAATTAAGCATTCCAATACCCAGCAACTCATTTGCATAACCATTTATCGAATTATTTCATCAGTGAAAGAAATTAGTGCAAGTAAAAATTATGAAAAGTGGGATAAAACCAATCATTACAAAGCATGGAAAACAAGGGGTGGACAAATGTTCTGGAAGAATGTAGAGTGGGGGTCCTTGGGATAAGCCTTGGAAGAAGAAGAAGAGTAGACACAATGGAAGGGATGAAGGAATTGATAGTTGAACCACTGATGAAACACTTGCTGGGTGCCATCCCCTTTTGACCCTGTGTGCGATGCAGATAGGATGGGCAGGTACACCTGAGACCCTAAATTAATAGCATAAAACTACAAAGCTGAATTTAATGAGGCAGACTTTTGCCAAAGACCCAGTGTTTGCTACAAACCTGATATCTCTCTTAGTGCAAGTTCTGGGTCAGAGAGTACATGTTGGCTAGCATCAGACCCCTTCTGCTCTCATTCCCAATTAATTATAGATGTTGGGTCTATAAGATCCTTTGTTAGAAATAATTAAATAATAAATGTCTATAAAGCAGTTTGCATGCCGAGTCTAATAAGAACAAACTCCATGGAAATCCAATTTAAACAGTTATTGCTTTTCTGTGCCAGAATTAAATTGGATTTGTGTTTCTGAACTCATTGGCATAAAGATCTACTGTGGCATAGTTGGATTTGGCATGATAACTGCATTGGGGCCAGCTGTGAAGAAATATTGTTTGCCTCAAAAGTTGGTATTCCTCAAATATGGTCTCAGAGCCAAACCATGGGACTGACTATTTTCAGATTCCTAAATGGTGTCATGAAATTCTCAAAAATATGCTTCCAGCTAAAATAACTTTCATTCATTTCAATTCAAAAAGTAATAAACAAAACCCTGTAAGAAAAGAGAGAGTGTATGTGCCAAACGCAAATAAAAAGGCTCAATGCTCCCATCTAAAAGGATGGGAGGTTCACTGGTAGGGTATACTGATAATACTCATATGGTCAAAAATATAGAGCTTTGAGCAGAAACTGGTTTGGCTCAGCGGTAGAGCGTCAGTCTGTGGACTGAAAGGTCCCAGGTTCTATTCCAGCCAAGGGCATGTACATTGGTTGTGGGCACATCCCCGGTGGGAGGTGTTCAAGAGGCAGCTGGTCCCAGGTTCGATTCCAGTCAAGGGCATATACATTGGTTGTGGGCACATCCCTGGTAGGGGGTGTGCAAGAGGCAGCTGGTCGATGTTTCTCATCGATGTCTCTAGCTCTCTCCCTTCCTCTCTGTAAAAAATCAATAAAATATATTTTAAAAAATATAGAGCTTTGAGAAGACAGAGATATGTATAAATTTTATAGGTTTTTCTTTGATTCCCATTTTTTGACACTTCTTTTTCATGTTAGATTACATTTAAATCCACTGACTAAAAAATAACCCCCCCCAAATTTTTTATGCTATTACATCAGTATCATTGACTTTAACTTCTAAATGGTGTTTAGAAAATAAGCATGTAATTTAATTTTGACATTATTTTATAATAACCGAGTGGAAAACCAAAAAAACTTTAAAGTATGTATTCATTAGTTCTACAACCGGGACAAAGATTGTCATTCTCAGACCAGCATAAGGCAAAGAATTTGTTCAAATCAGAAGCACATCGGATTGACTAGTTGGCTATGAGTGTTTGCCAAGTAAAAGAATATAATTGAAGAGGATATCAAAAGTGTGAGAGAAATATCAAAGAAAGAAAAGGTAGTTACAGGAGAGATCAACCAAAGGGCTTGTATGCATGCATATAGGCCTAACCAATGGACACAGACACCAGGGGGGTGAGGACATGAGTAGGGGATTGGAAGGGTAATGGGGGGATAAGGACACATATGTAATACCTTAATCAATAAAGAAAAAAAAAGAGAGAAAGAACTCAGCCAAACCATTCAAAAAAAAAAAAAGAGTAGTTAAAAAGAAAAATAAAAAAATCAGATATTGGAAAATAGCATAACAATTTCTTTTACAGAAACCCAAAAGCAGAGAAAAATGTCCTACTACATAGAACTTGTTATGTTTTGTCTTTTATCAAAAAGGAAGAAAAGTTGATATTTAGCTTTTTTGTGATCCTTTTATTTTCCTCCCTCAGGAAAACTGATTAGATATTAGATTCCAATAAAGTCAGAGTCACTGAGCCCAGACAGGTCATCTATACATTCCCTGCTAGATTACTCTGCACAAACTCGAAGCAAGTCTTCCTTCAGGTATTCTATAAACTTCATCTGCCTTATCTGTAAAAAACAGCTCATATAATAACTCCCAGTTCAAAAACAGTGTTTTGAGAATTAAAGGAGCTAATACCAGTATATGAAGACTTCCCAGCACAAGCTACCATTTTAACTACCAAATTTTTTACCTAGTCTTTGTCATGAATCTGAAATTCTTCTCTTGCTTTATGGTAGAGAGAAAATCATGTTTAGGGCTCATTAGGGGGCTTAGTTCCTATTGCGACATGGTGGTGTCATTATAAGACCAGTATAGGTCCTGACATCAGATTTTTAGATGATACACTAGCATTTTTGCGATGAGTTTAATAATAATTCTGAACTCATCTTTGATTTACTTTAGGGTCATGCTGGGAAGAGTATCCTACCTAATAAAAAAGAACTATGCAAATTAACCATCACTCCACTCAAGCCACACCCATCTGATTTGGGAGACCCTTCAGGGTAAACCAGCTGGCCCCAACCCATGCACCAAGTCTCTATCCTATTAATAAAAGAGTAATATGCAGATTGACCATCACTCCAACACACAAGATGGTTGCCCCCATGTGGACACAAGATGGCCAGCAGGGAAGGGCAGTTGGGAGGCAACAGGCTTGAAAGGAAGGGCAGATGAGAGGGACCACATCTGCAAGTGATGGCAGTTGGAGGCAATCAACCCTATAGAGGCAGGCAATTAGGGGTGGCCAGGCCAGCAGAGGAGGGAAGTTTGGGCAAACAGACTGGCAGGGGAGCAGTTAGACATCAATCAGGCTGGCATGGGAGTGGTTAGGGGTTGATTGGACTGGCAGATAGAAGCAGTTAGGGGCAATCAGGAAGGCAGGCAGGTGAGCAGTTGAGAGCCAACAGTCCTGGATTGTGAGAGGGTTGTCCAACTTCCCAGTGGGATTGGGTCTAAATGGGCAATTGAACATCCTTGAGGGGTCCCAGACTGAAGAGGGTGCAGGCTGGGCTGAGGGATCACTCCCCACTCAGTGCCTGAATTTCGTGCACTGGGTCTCTAGTGTGAATAATAAATAATGTGACCCTAAGAGTTCAGAAATGTGGGGCAATCCAGTGTGATTCATACAAAAAGTGCTGAGGAGGAGGAGCAGGAGGAGTTAAAGTAGTATAGATCTAGTGCCTCTTAAAAATGTTAATATAAGGGAATATTAGGCATTCTTTAATAATTTGCATAATATGGGTTTGTAAACAGTAAATAATGCTTTTGAAAGTCATGCCTACCATTATATAGCATGTTATGTGATTCAAAATGAGCTTGCCTGCTAAGTTGCCTTTTAATCCAACCAAGTGTAACAAAGCCAAAAGAGTGAGAACAATGCATTAAATATATGCTTCTTAAAAATAAAGGCCTAACCATTCATTTAGCCTGTCTTCAATACCACATATTATATATTTACATGGCTTGCCTTATTAATTCCACCTTACTTAGTCCAATTTAACAGAGCAGGATATCTTAAATTTTGAGAGACATTTCCCTAGAGAATTCAGATTCTTCTCACCTACTTTATCCATGATGAAAACATTTCTAAAAGAGAGAGTGTTTTTATACATAAATATATAAATATCCATAATATTTGCCTTTTCTCTGCCCGATTCTTTATTTTTTTATTTTTGTTGTTTTTCTGTTTTTTTTTTTTTTTTTAAAAAAAACTCAGAGATTTTCCAAGTAAGATGAGGAAGTCAGCATTTCTAAATTTTAAAAGAAAATTATTAGTTATACAGAGAAAAAAAAAACTCTTTAATTTATGTTTTAGACTATCTTCAATCTATATTTCACCATCTTAGGATCCCTGGAATTGTGCAGATAATTGGAGAAAAATGACATGGCAGAATTCATTATCATGGCATGATGTTTACAAAGTGACTGAACACAGAAACAAACAAAAAAATTCCTCCTTCATCTATGCAGTGAATGAAGGATTTGGGGATCTTAAATGACATGGTGAATTTCTGCCTCTGAGTCACCAGAGGTAGGAGGTAATTATCCACTATTCTAGTGTGCCAATTGTTTGGTGGTTCAGGTAAAATGCACACACAATCAAAATCAAATCATTAGTAAGCAAGTTCTATCACAAGAAACCTGAAGACCCACCTATATCCAGGAAGGGCATCTGGTATGACATTCCTAGAAGAAATTCAGCTTCTTCCCTGACTTTGCATATTGATTGTCCTTTCCCTCCTGACCCAGACAGGACTAAAACATCCCAGGATAGAGAAACTAGGTCTGTTATCAGACCAGCAAGACCTTCTGGCTTCCAGACAAATAGAGGTTGTCAAGCCTCAGGCACAAGAAACATAATAGCAAGAGTAGAGTTTACTTAATAAAAACAACAAAATAAGGCACAAACTTCCCTTCAGCTCAGAGATAATCACTTATTCTGAATCACCAAGGTGTACTTTTAAACATGATTATTTTGGAGAAAGTGGAGATGAAAGTACCAAAGGCAATATGGTTCCATTGGAGAAAACTTGTAAGAATTAACTTTGAAGTCAAATTCTGGGTGTCCTTGAAAAAAATTACTTAATCTCTTTAAGCCTGAGCACCCTGTCTGCAATGGGTTCAGTTATGGGAATTGAATGAACTGATTCTTATAAAAAGAAAACATTCAGTAGAGTAGTAAATAAAAGCAAAATTAAGAATAGAAAGTATTGCCCGGCCAATGTGGCTCAAAGGTTGAGCATCGACCCATGAACCAGGAGATTACAGTTTGATTCTAGGCTGGGGCATATGTCTGAGTTACAGGCTCAATCTCCTAACTGGGGGTGTGCAGGAGGCCAAACAATGATTCTCCCATCACTGATGTTTCACAGTCTCTCTCTCCCTCTCCCTCTTTCACTGAAATCAATACAAATACATTAAAAAAATAATAGAAAGTATTATTATCATTACTAGTATTAAGAATAGGGGATATTTATATAAGAAAAGAGAAAGGGAGGGGCTATTGAATGAAATGAGAAGGGATTGGGCGAATGCAGGCACCCTACAATGTCTATCTGACAATCAATAGGATCCTCCCTGAAATCTGGGGCCGTAAAATTGAGATGAGAATTGAATTCTAGCTTTATAGTCTACCATGGATCTTTCTAGAGCGACTTGGAGAGCAATTATACTACCTGGTGTATCTGGGACATTTAGATGCTTTGGGGAGAATGCAATGATGCTAGACCTAGGATTCCATTTCAGCTCTGTAATCTATTAGTTGTGTGAATTTGGGCATTTTTTTCTCTCTGCTAGATTCAATAGAGATGTAGCACAAAGGACTAGTCCCTTTCCTCCTCAGAAACAGAACCTCTTATTTGTTTTAGGTATGTATATCGTTGCCCTAAATTACTTTCTTTTAATTGATTTTTGGAGAGAAGAAGAGAGAGAAAAAGAGAGAAAAGCATTGATGTGAGAGAGAAAAATCTATCAACTGCCTCCTGCGTGTACCCAGACCATAGAAATCACAACTTGGGTATGTGCCCTGACCAGGAATTGAACCTGACACCTCTTGGTGTATGGGATGATGCTCCAACCATCTGAGCCACATCTGGCAGTACACCCTAGATGCACCATAGATTGATTTTTTTCAGCTTGTCTTATATGAAAATGTAACATGTATCTATATTCTGACCAATGAAACATAATCCAAAATATTGTGAAGACTATTATTGAGTTCTTAAAGGGACCAAGACATTTTTTTTTTTTGCTTTTAAAGTAACATTTTTTTTTTAAAAGTTAACATGTGCATATATAGGAAACTGAAAAAACAAGCAAAGAACAGAGCCATCCATAATCACAAACAGT